GTAATTCGCCAGCGATGTCACGTCTGAGCACCAGGAGTTGTTGATTGGGAAACAGACCCTACTGTCCCATGCCTCGACCGAGGACGCCGAGCTGTGAAATGGAACAGTTTTTAACAAGTGCGGAGGTCAGGAAAGAGGAGGACTGTAACAAAAAACAAGCAGCAAGAGATGTGATGGGACAGAAAGCAGGAGAAGGATGACAGCATTGGAAAGACATGCATTGAAGTAACACTGAAAATAATCTTAGGATATTGTAAAGCACCTCGCAACCAATGAAGACCTTCAGAAAAATCTCTTGTTTTTGTGTTGTGCAGAAGCAATTTGTTCCCAGCAAGCTCCCCAGTCAAACAATATGATAATGGTCTGTTTTGTTTGTGTGACATTGGTTGAAGATTAAGTTTTAACCTTTTTTTGTGTAGCTCAATGATCAAGCAAGGATGTGCCTTTAAGAGAATTCTGTGTGACAATATGCCAAGTGTGGTATTCTTGTATAAATGTATCAGCTTCATCCTGAATAGCTACTGTTGAACTTTGCAATCCATCAGGAAAGTTAGTTAGTCAGTAAGCTGTGAAAGGATCAATCCTAATCTGTATAGATGTCAGTGATGGAGGTGTAATGTATTTAATTTCATTTTGATGTACATCAGTGCCCAATAATTTATGGGGTCCACTATGTTCAGGTGAGGGGCCAATGTGTGGTCAAGCTGGGGTCTGTGATTTCCATCCCTGCCTCTGGTGTCAGTATTCATGTTACCAGAATTAACATCATAATTCTAGAGAACTCATCAAACATTGGGGATAACTCTCCTGTTCTTGGAGTTAGCACTGAAAGACCTTTTCTGTCCTGTTGGAAGATGGAGTTCTGACAGCACAGCACTGCACTGGGGCTGTCAGCCTGGATTTTTCAACATGAATCCTGCAAATGTAACCCACAACTCCCTGACTCCTAGGCAAGAGCGCTACCCACTGAGCTACAGCTGACGACTGGGCAAAAATGATATAGTTACAGGATTCATAAAGAAACAAGGCAAAAGCAGGGTCATGTGGATCTGTAAATGGTACCAGCTGCTGTCAGAAAAAATAGGAACAGTGGTTATGATCTGAAATAGTTGAACACAAGAGGCCATAAATATAAAATAGTCACTGACAGATCGAATAAAGAATTTAAGAGGGAATTCTTCATTCAGAATGTAGAGTGGTTGAAGCAGTGAGAGTTGATGCATTAATGCAGAGGCTTGATGCACGCACTAGGGAGAAGGGAATAGAGGCATACAGAGTCAGTCAGAGGAAGTGCTAATTGGACTGCGAGGAGACTTATGGGGAGAATAAACAGTGGCATGAGTAGGCGGCCTGAAGAGCCTGCTAATGTTCTGTGTAAGGAAGTGTTCTGTCCCGTAAGATGATAGTTTGTGTCATGGTTACCAATGCCGTGTTAATTGTTAAAAACTGAAAGAACTGTGGATGCTAGAAATTAGAAGCAAAGACAGAAATTGCTGGAAAAGCTCAGCAGTTCAAGGAGCATCTGTGGAGAGAAATCAGAGTTAACGTTTTGGGTATAGTTAATTGTTGCCTTGTCTGACTCAGGAGCCCCACTCTCGTACTTCAGAAGGCAGTGGGCTGAGAAAATGCATTATTTGTTGTATCTCAAGCCTCCATTCTCAATGGCTCAGCTTTTCATTTCTGCTCAGCTTTTCAATGCTTTTCAGAGGTCACCATCTCCCAGTTGTCAATGCCCACCATCTTTAAATCTCACTTGCAGGTGGTCTTGTTGCCGAAGTGTGGACAACCAACAGATCGTGACCCGTGGGCCATTCCATTGTACAGAAGGTCTTTGGGTAATTGGCCACCAGCCGCCTGATGAATGTGGCTCAGTCTGTGTAGATGTCATTAGTTCAGCAATGGGTGCATGTTGATGGAATTAGCCATGAACTTGTCCTGCCCAGAGATGGTAAGAATGTGTCAGAGACAGTGAAGGTGGAAACCAGTCAGTCTCTTCTCCTGCTGAGCATATGTTGTTCAGGTCTCACTGCTGCAGAGGGTGCTCTGAAAGAACAGGCTTGGTAGACTTGTGTTATAGTGTTCTCAAACAGGTTGGTGCATTTGACAACCTACATCATAGTTAAACATGGATAACGGTTGAGTGATATATCTAAGCTCTGCATCCAATTAGTTAAATGAAGGCTGTGTTGCCTGCCTCGTGCCCAGGTTAAGGCCATCTCCTCAGGGCTGGAGAATTAGCATGTGCGAGGAAGGATCCAGTTGCTGTGGTCACTTGGAACACCAATGACATAAAAGAAAGAGGTTCTGCTGAGGGACTGTGAGCAGCTGAGACTTTGCATTTCTGTTCCCTGCTGAGGCACTGAATATATTGAGGGTTAGTTTGGTCAGATTCTTGATCTATAAAGTAGTCAACGGTCCACAGGTACAGACAGGATGGTGTAGTTGAGCCCACAACAACGTCAGCTATGATTTTATTGAATAGGAGTGCCTGGTTCAAGGGGCAGAATGGCTTATAAAGATCCTATAAAGAGCAAAGTAAGATTTTTGTTTCAATCTGCTCATGGTATGTGCGTTTCACTGGCTAGGCTAGCATTGATTACCTCTCCCTAATTACCTCGAGAAGGCGGTGGTGAGCTGCTTTTCTAAACCGCTGTAGATCTTTGGATAGATACATGCCGGTGTTGTAGCAATACATGTAAATGCAAGTTGTTGTTGTTTGAACGTGGAAAGCAGTGTAGCCAACAATTCTCTCACAAGAAGTTATGAGAGTGAGATCCAGCTCTGGCTGGACTATGATGACTGATGCAGTCAAGTAGCTTGTGAACGCCCATATTGTGAGGTATTGGTAGAGAAGTATCTGGGAAAGTGTTATCAGGTCAAGGAGGAGAGAAGATCAGAGACTGTATACATACAGCAGAACCTATAAATCCAACTCAAACCAGTGAAGAAAAGTATGAATTCTGCTGCCAAGTTTTATTCAAGAAATCTGTTGTCCTCTCGAAGTGTGAGAAGAGCTGAATAAGGTGGGACACCAGAGTCACAAGACTGTATTTCAGTTTTTCACCTTGAACCTTGCTGGATTTATTGTCATCTTTGTAAAAATGGGTTTAAGGACAATGCAATACCCAACGTTTCAAAAATGTATGAGTGGATTTGAAAAGTGTTAAGAGAGAGGATTTTTATGAAGTTTGACATGAAGAGCTTAGAGATGGTGGAAGGACTGTCTGTGTGCACATTCACTTGTTGCTATCCCCTTTTAATATGATAGACATCAAGTTAGAGGTTGGTGGCAATGTGAGGCAACATGACCAACTAAGATTTCTGACTGAAGAGGGAGATCAAGTCAGTAGCTGGGTTTAGCACGCAGGGCCTATCATCATTTTAAAAGGAAGTCACTGATCCACTTTACCTGAAAAAAATATGTTTGGGAAGCAAGGCACAAAAAACATCTCTTTTATTAAAAAAAAATCCCTATTGAACTAACAGTCACATTCTAAAGTTATTCTGACCCCTGCATTTCCCTCTTTCGGTCTGCTCCAGAGTCACTCTTCATCTACAAAGTAACTTGGTCACAAGCAGGGACCAGAAATAATTTTTATTATTCCATTAAGATGTAGCTAATGTGCACATTCATCCCATCTACCTGTTTTAGTTTCACATCCCTTTACCATCTTGTCAAGGAGAAGTCTTATCAATTTTAGTTTTGGAGTTTTTAATGGATTCTGAACCTCATGAACTTTTTAGGGGAGAGAGTTCCAACTTTCAACTTCCCTTTATGTGAAGAAATGCAATCCACTTTGAATGGCCTTCCTCGAATTTTTAATATTTGACCTTTGTTCCGGCTCCTCCCAGAGAAATAATCTCTCACTCTGTCTCTCTTGTCCTTCAGTCATTTTAAAGAAAGATAAAGCATCCAGTGCCCTTTGCAACCTTTCCTTTGGGGGTACCAGTGAAGATCTTGTGAAGAGTTGGTTTTTTGTTGCATAGGTTTGATTGTGGCCAGTTGGTGCACAAAAAAGTTGCACAAATAGTTGAAGCAGATCATCTGCTTATGATAGTAAATGCTGGCGACGACTTTGGGAAAATTCCGTGTTCTTTTCACCAATGGTAGCAATGCCTTTTTTTGCTTCTGTGAATCTGTTGTGTTTAATGTTTTATGTGTAATGTAGCCTTTCTGTGAACTGGTTATATCCCCTTCAGTTAGAAGGACAAACTAATCAAGGTGTTTGAAACGATTCAGTGATTCAGTAAAAAGAGAAACAACTTACTCTGGTGGAAGTGTTCACAACAAGTGGGCATAATTTTAAAGGAGGGCAATATCAATAGCGCTTTGTATAAATCTGGAACACTCTTCCCCAAACAATGCAGATGTTGGAATCACTTGAAATTTTTGAGATTTTAGTTCAGAGAGCTAATTAAAAGTTATGGAAGTAACACAGGTGAATGGAATTTAGATAGAACTCACCAACAATTTCCTTGAATGGCAAATTCACGGGGAGACCATGATATAATGGTATAGTCACCGGACTAGTAATCCAGAATCTCTGACAAATGTTCTGGGGAATGGGTTCAACTCACCCCATGTAAAATTTGGCTCCAATTAAAAAAACAACCACTAGCCTAATGGTGGTCATGTAGCCTTTGTTGAATAATGTTAAAAACCCATATGGTTCATTGTTACCATTTAGGGACCTCATCTAATCTTGGCCTGCGTGTCAGTCCAGACACATAGCAATGCGGTTGATTTTTGACTGTATTCTGGCAGTTAGGGATGGACAATAAATACTGGCATGGCCAGCATTGTCCACATTGCATGATGAATAGAGGGACTGAATAGCCTCTTCCTGTTCCAAAATGCATTTTGGAGAAGCCGAGGAGATGCAACATCGTTTAATTTTGGGATGCCACTAACTGTTGTGTTGTGAATATAGTTTAAATAACTTACATTCATTGACGAGTTGTAACACAATCTCTCTCTCTGCATTCCTTTCTTTTTTCAGGATCCTGCTGGTATTTTTGAACTGGTGGAACTTGTTGGCAATGGCACATATGGACAGGTTTACAAGGTAAATGCTGCTGTCATTTGGCTTCTATGTAAGTTGTTGCTGCTGCGAAAGAAGTGCAAGAACCTATCTGATGGAACTGAAGGTACATGCAATATACTAACTGGATCTGAGCACCTAGTGTCACAGAGTTTTCTTTGAGTTTGTCTCTAAGGCTTGGCCTGTTCTGTTTCAGTATGGCATGTGAACCACCCAAATTCAGAACTCTGTGTAGTTCATGAAAAGTTATATCTGATATTAAACTTTGGGGAGGCTCCTTCCCTCAGTAGGGTTTCCCTGATTACTTCTTATTCATACAGCCTCCCAATAAAAACCACATGGCAGCGATCGAACCAAAGGTGTAGGTTGCCAATACTCCAGGAATCGCCCAACAGTATCCAGGCATTGCTCTCCAGGATAACACAGTGTGGAGCAGGAGGAACACAGCAGGCCAGGCTGCATCAGAGGTACAGGAAAGTTGTCATTTCGGGTCGGGACCCTTCTTCGGGACCGATCAGGATGCTGCTGCCAGCAAGGAGAGTTTTTTAAAAAAAAAGTTTTTGAAATGTCTTGCCTTTACCCTGTCTTATTGAAAATCCACGAATTGTTTGCAGGTCTATGTTTTCTCATAGATCTTATCATCAGACCACATTGTGTTGCAACAAGGCAGCATTTACAAATGAACACATATACTCGATGCCTTTGGCCTTGTTTTGAATCGGGAAAGCATTTGCGTGATGCTTAATCAAAACACCTAATTTCCCAAAGTGCTTCACAGCCAATGACGTACTTGTTGAAGTGTCTTTTCGTGGAGGAAATGCAACAACTACTGTGTGCACAGCAAGCTTCCACAAGCAACTGACTTTATGACTGGCTCACCTGTTTTAACTGATATTGGTTGAGGCGCTTCTATTACTTTTGGGGGTTGGTTAGCTCACTTGGCTGGACAACTAGCTTGTATATGTGGAGTGACACCAGCAGTGCAGGTTCAATTCTTGCCTCTGGCTGAGATCACCATGAAGGACACAACCTCTCACCTGAGATGTTGTGGCCATGAAGTTAAACCAGCGCCAGTTGCCTCTGTCTAATGAGTAGCATCCCTATGGTTACTTCATCTTTTAATATTGGCCCAAGGATGAATATTAAAGACCCTGAGGTAATATTTTGGAGAGTGGGGAGTTAACCCCACTGCCTTAGCCAATAATTAACCTTCCAGCAATGCCAGAAAATTGCATGCTTTAGTTATTAACTCATCACATTTTTTGGGAGCTTGCTGTGTGTAAATTGAGTGCTGCATTTTCTACATTACCATTGTCCTTAACATTTCAACATAAAAACTCCAGTGGTTGTCAATTGCTTTGGGACGTTTCAGATATGGAAATGGTGTTTTATAAATAAGTCCTTACATTTTTCTCAGTCAAGTTCAATTTGCATTGAAGATGTGACAGAGCAGGTGACCCAGATAGGCTGATGTCTGTATGTTACAAGCAGGAAATGGTGGATTACCTCAGATCTTGAAATGAATGTGGTTCTGTACGGTTAACTGGGTGAATGTACAAGAGGCTGTGTGTGAATATTGTTGTCTCTGGCTTTGCACCTATATGAAAAATAACCTCTGAACATAGGTCACATATATTTATCAAACCTTCACCTCAAATATTTCTGCTCTATAGTACCAAGACAAGTGATAGAGCATCACCTCACCAGTACTGTATCCCAGTTTTATAGTGACTGAAATAATCTCGCCATTCTGTACCCTCGTGTTATACAGTGACTGACCTAATCTCACCAGTACTGTACCCCAGTGTTGTAGTGACTGACCTAATCTCACCAGTACTGTACCCCAGTGTTAGAGTGACTGACTTAATCTCACCAGTACTGTACCCCAGTGTTATACAGTGACAGACCTGCCCTCACTAGTACTGTACCCCAGTGTTATACAGTAACA